TAGACAACTAAAATCTGGACATTGTCCTGAGGCTTAAACTCCTGTGATGGTTCAAATCATGTGTAACCAAAGGGATTTTGACTTTTTGCAGAATACTAGAACAATGGTATTGCTAAGCACAGCATGGAAGGGTTCAGCTTTCAATACCTGGTCAGGAGCCAGAAGCTTCCATCTGATAACAGTGGATCTAGCTTCGGAAGCCCCAGGCAGTTTGCTTACTTTGTCTTCTGGCAGTTTTCAAAGTCAAGGATGGAAGACCTCACTGGAAGACACTCTGAGGCACAGTTAATGAACAGAAAGAAGGCACTTGGAGGACTGCTTACTGAACACAGAGTGCTCATTCTTCGCTAGGGTTAATTGTGATTTGGCCTAGTTAAGCTGTCATTGTGCAGTTTTTCCAGCTGCTGTCTGGCTTTAAGCTCCAGCCTGGGATCTGGGAACTTGAATTATCATGCTAATTTCATCAGTTAAAGTAAATTCCAAGTCCTTTAACTTCCGGCACTTTTTCTGTAAGGAACTCCTGCCTTTTGGGTGCAGTGTAAGCACTAACTTGTAAAACCCAGCAAAGGCAGAAATACTTGCTTTGTAGGGCTGAAGACTGGTAATTTGGCCTGTCTGTATTTCTCTCCTAATCATTAGTGTAGTACTGTGATGCTTTTCACATCTGTTAAAGCCTTTTTTTCTAATATCATTAAAACCTTTTTACCTTACTGTTGGACTAGTTTTAATATTCCCACCAGCTGCTATGATTAAAGAACATGCTGATAAGTACAGTATTACCTTAAGGATAGAGGAAGAAGAAATTCAATATATAAATATTCTGTATTTAACCTGTCCAAAGTATTTAGGTAGAATGCATGTTCATACCAGTGACACTGCACCAGAACTCTCACCTGGCACAATCTGTTCTCTTGTGAGAACAGAAGGTGTATATGAAAAAAATCTGAAAAGTGAGCTGAAACTTCTGAGAAAGTTTTAGTAGGTACAAATGTTTTCTAGTATCATGCAAAACCTTCTGATTTAACACAACCTTAAATGGTACAGGATGCCAACAGCAGGCATTCCAATGAAGCCATTGCATATAGACATTCCATTTGAATTACGGCACACTCCAAGTTAGACTGCCAGTGTAACTAATAAATATTCTAAACAGTTTAGTGCCTTTGAGCGGGTAAGCAAAAATACTTCAGGTAACTTCAGATGAAGCTACCCATATGGGAATTGACTGGACAGCCAACTTTTTGGTCAGTCTGTTTTGCTAGGGCAAGTAATTGCTTCTTACAATATATGCTTCTGGCTTGTAACATTATAGGCCATGGCACGTAAAAAGGTTTCCTGCTGCTTTACATAGCTACAAGCTTTTTATGTGTTTCTGAAATAGCATACATGGCTGTGCATTAACAGAATTTTTGAAGCATGCTCTATTGCACTCAAACCTGATTACACTGGCTACCAATTGAAACAGCAAGCATTGAGTAGACAGGCTGTCAGCAAGCTTTTTCTGTGAGCTTATGATGTCTCAGCTCATGATTACCACTCTCTCCATTATAAACCAGGTATTCAGTCTTGCTCAAAACTGCAAGGCTTTTGCTTTTTTCAAGCTCAACTTGGCAATGGAAATTCTACTCCTTATGCTGTACAAGAGGAAGGAAGGGTTTTACCTGTGTCTTTTTCACATCCACTTAAAATAGCAGATAGCGTAATTACTTCAGTCCTGTATGTATTAGGAACATTTAACTCACCTACTTCCAGGCAAACAGTGAGATGGAATCACAGAGACCATGCTTGTAGGAAAGCAGCGATGGCCCTTCCAATCTAGCCTTAAGGAAAAAAACAAATGGAGGGTTTTCAGTGCTGCTTTTTCCTCTTTTCTGTTATCAAGGTTAGAGCCCTTAGTTGCCTGTAAATTATTAAATGCTGCAGTTCTTATGTTACAGAATTCAAATTATCAACTAGACCTAGCATAGTGTGATTTAAACTGTTTCTTTTGTCTTAATTGTTCTGTTCTAATCTAACAATCAGATTTTCATAATCTGGTGGGAGTTGCAGTTATACTCTATCCTAAAGCTGAGCTGGTAGTTTAATAGTAATATTGATGATTATTTGCAAAAAGAGCAGGTATATAATACTTAACTGTCTTTAAAGCTCTATTATAGTTAACATTCTTCAAAAATGTCCATAAAAAGTGGAGTTTAACTACTAAGAGAATTCAATGCTGCGTATCATTCTGTAATTTCTATTAAAAAGTCCTTTTTTAGTGGTCAAATGTATGTATTGCTTCTTGGATCTCTTTCAGTAGTGCAGTCAAAGATGAAAATTGCTAAAACATCTCCATTTAATGAGATTTTTAAACCTAACAGTACAATTATCCATATGATATATTTTTTTAGTGTAGACTTTACTATAGATTTTTAGATCATTATATTCTGAAAGTCGGTTCCTAGCTAGGATTTCCTGTTGGTGGTAACAAAAAGCTGCTGCCAGATGTAATATTTTTACAGCAAATAATCACAAAGCTTTTCAGTAAACAATCTTTAGCCATTGGCCAGTACCAGTAGTGTACATGTATGTGTGTTTGGAGAGGAAGTAACGGGAGATTTTGGCTGAGGACAACAGACAACATCAGAGCTAACAAACTTTGAGATATATTATTTGGGCTTAGTGACCTCAAAAAAAAAAAAAATCAGGTACGCTGTGCAATAAGCATCTACTAGGCCTTCCTCTTGGAAGACAGCTACTATGATATCAAAATGCTTGATGCTTCTAAAGGCCTGGGAGTCCTGCAGAATAAATATCAATTTTCTACTCAAAAAAGGAATAGGATAAACAATAGAAGCAAATTAAGTAGAACTGCACGTGTCTTGATAACCAGACCCCTGCAGAAGTTGCTCCTTTAGACAGAGCACTGTATAAGAGCAAAAGATACTTGACCATTTTTTGCTTATCTTACCCATGCAAGTCAGGAGAAACTGTCCACCTAAAAGATGCTCTGTAATCTAATTTAACCTTAAATTAGACCTACATTTTGTAGACATGAAGTATGTTTGATTCATGCTTATTTAAGGTGCATAGACACTTTTAACTATGCAAAAATTACCATTTCCTTGATCTTATTCCTGTAATATTTAAGAAGCTTTAAGTTTTGAATAGGGTGACTGACCCACTCATGATTCAAGAGGATGGATTTTGTATAGGTGTTGAAGAGGGAGGGATACAGTATGGAAGGGCTAAAACAGCCAGAAGAGGTATGAAAACCTAGGGTGGCTGTCATTATGCTTTTTTCAGGGTAAAAATGTTAGAACGTGAAAGCCTTGAGTTAAAGTCTTTATCATTAATACATTCAAGCAGACCAACCTACCTCGTAACAGACTCCTCCTTCAGCAATAGATTTGCCGTGAATGAGTAGCCTCATTTAATGGCTTCAACGCTGCATTAATGATTTCTGCCTTAAAGCACCAAGAAAAACCTTTCATATCTCCTGTGAGATTGATGACCAGGGCACACTACGGTAAATAAAGCTTCATGAACCTCAAGAAAGCAAGTAACATACAGTGGCATTTACTCGGTTTTCATACTGCTTTTTTCTTAATATAAGCACTGGTATGCCAAGAGGACAGATTTCCTGTTGAGTACAGAATTGCTAGTTTATTATCTACCTAGCCTACATCTGTCAGTAGAAGAATTCTTGTAAAAAGGTATCTCATCCCTGAAAGTGGAACAGTTTGGGATAGGGAGGGTAAAGTGTCATTGTGTAAAATTTCCTGTATACAGCCAGAGATAGGGATTCATGACATTCCTATTCTACACTGTAGCACTTGATGTTATTTGAGCGATATTGGGTAGTTACAGCCTAAAAAAAGGCATATTTTTTCTTCCTCAATCCACTACTGCTTACAGAGCAAGAATAAAAGGGAGCACGTGTAAGGAGGCCAGAGCATTACTGTCTTGGCATTGTGTCATGGATAGCTGAGTGACTCTAGTCCAGAAAGTGCACTTTTCGTTCAAGAGAAGAGTTTTAAACAAGGAGCAAGGCTACACCTAGAAGATCTCAAGCGTGAACAAAAATATTATGTCATCTGGTACCTTATCTTGGGGTAGTATTTAAGGTATGAGCCTTACTAAAATGACAACCTGCTGATTTTCAACTTGGTTTTTTTTAAGAATTACCCTAACCTGTATCCTTCAGGAAAGAACAAGTGGCTTCAAGGAAGAGCTTGTCTCATGAATCAAGGGCTGAGCAAGAGAAACAGCGTTCAAGTCTTTCCTCTCTTCCTGCATATTTTAGACTATCTTTGGCATGCATATTCTGCCTTGATACAGTTTGCCCATGCAGTAACTTAAGCAGACTTCTCATTTCATTTGGCTGTATCTGTCTAACACCTTATGTCTTTAAAATCTGCTTCTTTTGCATCAGCAGCATTTGGTAAGCTCTACCAGCCCAGCAGAGGGCAATGGTGGAACATTTCTGCTGTACCGCTGCTCCAGCCAAGTTCCTGTAGTGAAACTGGAAATGTAATGCAACTTACTGAAAACAAAGATTGTACACCAGCAGCATCACAGGTGAAAAGTGACACAAAACAAGTTTTAATTGTCAAGACAACAAGCGAGAGATATGGCTATTACAACAAAACTAAAATACTCAAAATACCTAAGCAAAAAATATCAAAAATGGAAGCAAGGAGGAAGACAAACAATTACTGGAGAAACTAAGTAGCAGCATGGAGGGAGTTGCATACTGAGGTATTAAGGCTAGTGAGAGTATTCTGCTTTAAATGCTTTATTTAAAGGATCTTCTTTTTAATAACAGTAAGATACCTTTTTGTGAGCAATTAAGGCATTTTGGCTGTAAGCTTTACTGAATTCTAACAGACCTTTCATTTTTGGAACAAAAAAAATCCAGCTAATTGTTGCTAACCTGCAAGAGGAATCTCTAATAGGCTAACTGGGGTTCCTTTAGGATAATAAGAGAAAATGACCAGAGACATTACTTGAAAGGTAAATCATGCCATGTTGGAATCTTCACTTTCAGTCACAGCTGCTTCTGGATGTTCCCCAGTTCTTGCTCCCTTAGCTGCACCAGACTTCTTTTTCTTCTTTTCCTTTTGCTCCATGTTATTTGATGCGAGCTCATCACTCTTCTGGGTGATATACTTTAGCTGAGAACATTAAACTAATCAGTCATCTACTAAGGAACTTCATTTATTCATGAGAAATTAAAGAGAAATGTTCAAGAGAAATTAACAGGGCAAATTCTTCTTACAAATAACATGACAAACACTCCAAAAAAGGCTAACAAACATCAATTAGTTTTAATTCTCACACAAAACCCTCAGTCTAAGCAGGATATCCTCAGATACTGAAATGTCCTGGCAAGACTAGGATTTATAAATGTATGTTACATCCATCTCTAGAACTGCAACATTAGCAGTTACTCAGAGCTGTAGTTTGCCACCATATAATCTGAGTACAGAAACATTGCAAGATTCCTCTGCACCTACTTGACATAAACAGCACATGATAGGAATACAAAATTCAGCTCTAGCATTTGCTGTGCCTTCTCAGGCAAGTTCATGTTGCGTATTTCAAATCACAGATGGAAGGAAAAAATCCCCTCATATAAAATCAGCATTGGAAGTATTATTCTTCACGGAAGCATTTACAGGTATGTCTGAACACATTAGTGAATTTAAGTCCACTGAACATCATTCAGATCAGCACATAAGATGATACAATAACGTGAATCATCTCGATATTAATGTTAGGAGACTTAGCACCTCAAGGTGGACTCCAGCTATTCCTGACCTTAGGCTAAAACAAAGGAACACAACATCAGGAAAAAACAGTGATTTACTTCCAAGATTGACAATGTTGTAATGTGTCTGTTGATTGTACTTTTGTACTTGGAACCTCAGCAGCCCTGTTGCTATCAGAACATTGCTGCTTGAATTGCAATCAGATCTGTGTTCCCACAGTGAGGCATAGCATTGTGAAGCAAAATAAGATGAAAAGTTTAAAAAAAAATAAAAATCACTGGATTGTGCCCATCCATCATCAAGAAGCCAGTGCAATTGCTTAAGCAACGGTTGCTTCATCATCTATAGCCTTCGTTCAGATGCTCTTAGGAACTAACCAATTGGTTTAAGAATGTTGTGAGACAGAAAATACAGTGAATCTCACCAAAGAATTGCTCCTTCTAGCCAAAAGCTTCACATCTTCTGTATTGACTGTGCTTCGTTTTGCATGCCTGCATAAAATTAAAAAATATTCCTTAATGTGTTTGCCAACACTTGTTGTAAGAGGCCATACAGCATCTAATTCAAAACACTAACTAAAAAGGCTTAAAAAGGACCTGGTAAACCAAAGTTGTCTATCTATTTTACAATTACAATACACAAAAACCTATTTTACAAGTTTATATGTGTACATCTAAATTCCCACACTTCCTGTGTAAAACCAGTAGAATTTAGCAACCAGAATTTCAAGCACCACTATTCCATTCCCTCTTACTTACCAGTGGGTCTCTGTGTTAAGTTTTGACTCCTCAAAACATTCTCTTACTTCCTTGGAGCAACCAGATGAAACAGGGATGCTCATAAGTATCTGTCACTCCCAAACCATCCAGTACCGTTACGTATCAACATATTTGACAATTATATACAGTCATTAATCTAAACAATCGTACCATATAAACAAACTTCCAAGATCAGGAAGAACCTACAAGGGAGTATTTATTTTGTAACTTCACAGCCGCTATTTAATCAGCCAACAGAACCCTTTAAAACTGGAATCAGAAGACATATTTTAAAGACTATCTAGTTATTGGAGTGGAATAAAAAAAAAAAGCAAGCTATTGTAATAATCAAGTGTTCCAGTACCTACCTCGCAAACATTTCAAGGTCTTTGGCAAAGTTATCTGGAGAAAACACAAAGACATCACACATTTTAAAATGCTAACTGAGTAGGAAGAGATACATAATACAGTTCCAACTGTTACAAAGGTGTAACTGCAAATTATCCAACTTAGTTATGAGAAGCGACCATAACTTGTTATTACGTGCCACTCTGTTGCACAGGCAGGTGGCCCACACAATATTTCTACATACATTTAAATGTTTTTTCCAGGTATGAAAAATAGAATCACTATTTCTTGTACTTTTAAAAACGTAATGCAAGAAACAATGCACCAGTGACGCCTAGCTCAGTGCTATTTTTTTAAAAGCATTCTCCAGCAATTGCTCCTGAACAAATAGGTAATATGCAAACTTCTGTACCACACTGCCTGAAGGTGATCTCTGAAATAGCTGCAATGGCTTGTTTGCTGAATTGCATGTCTTTGTCTTCTGCAACATCCTGGCACAGGCAGCCAACCGTGTAGTGAACCGCAGCCTTCAGCCTCTGAAAGGACCCAGGGCAGCGACAGGTCAGTTCTCTGCAGACCGACACACCAACTCTTGCGGTGTCCGCTCACGGACCCCAACGCACCCCGCAACGCCACGTCTGAC